CTCCACCCCACAGGACATACAGTATCGTACATACATGCTCATGTAAATAATCATTACAACAGACATCAACCACAGTCTAGTAAATCCAAATATTAATAAGTTTACAGAATTTCTCAATTCCTTACACTTTATATCAGAGGATGAACACAATCCTCACTTGATCGATCCGTAGCACAACTCAGCTACTCCGTAGCAAATATCCAGCTACTGTGCACCGCTCCTAGAATTTCCTGGGAGGGGTTTACATTTAAAACATAAAACGTGAGCGAAAGGCCCAGTAGGATATAATTTGAAATAATTAAAATAAATGAATAAATAAATAAGCGCGTAAATGAATAAAATAAGACATTCAGCCCCGACAGAACAGTCGGAACCTCACATCCTTTTTCTCAAAGGAAATATAACTGTAAACAACCATATTACGGGCTTCAGCAAGTAATTAGTACAAATTACTCACCTCACCAAGTGCCTCACCTACCGGACCGGTTTCGGGTTCTGTCCCCGAGGATGCACTCTCTGCATCCTATCTAGGCTTACAGCAATAGACTCTATTACCAGTTCACAAGATCTCTTATCTTAAGAAATCATCCATTTAACATTATGAAATCGTTCATATGACCCCACGAACTACTCAAGCCGCGGGCCCCATGACTGGACAAGCCATGAGGTTCCATGACTAGACAAGCTATGGATTCCAAGGACAGGACAAGCCAAAGATTTCCATAAACTAACAAGCCATGGTTTTTAAAACATTTTTCTTTCGAAAACCAATCCCTGTCATTAAAACATTTTTAAGGCCAAAATCCTTTTTGAAAACAGGCTCACAAGGAAAAGGGATAGAAATCCTACCTCGCACAATCAAACCTGGGACTAGCGTTGCCCCTTTCCGGCTTCCGCTTCCTCAAGCCCCTTCAGTCTGAATCCACAGCGAGCACTAATACAAGATAACACTTTAGGATCAATTCTCATTCCTAAAGCAATCCGATCTCACATATTTACCAAGATTTTCAATTAGTGTGCCCTAATCCATTTTCATGTTTCAAATTCCACTCCAAGGGTTTTAAATATCAAATCAGGGATTAAAGATGCTAATCCTTTCGTCCCAAGTCCCCAAATGAAGCTAATTTGGGTTCTCCCCGAAAACATGGGTCAAAACAACAATTTCAGGCCAAACAGGGTCAAACCCCGTGTACACCGGTCGACCGGTGACAGAGCAGTGCAACACTACCGGTCGACCGGTAGTGTGCACACCGGTCGACCGGACAGGTCGACCGGTCAGCCTGCAATCCGGTCGACCGCACAGGTCGACCGGTGGAATCGACTGCGCGAGAGAAGCTCACGGAAATTAGTCCAAAAACCTACAAATCCAGTCCCAAATCCAAATATTTCAAAGAGAAAACACTATATCCGGGTTCTAGGTCCTAAAACAAGTCCAAAGAACCCAAGATCTCCAATTTCTACTCTAGTTTTACTCAAAAATCATCAAAATCTGGTTTGAACCAAAAATAAGTTTTGAAACTCAAAAACTTGAGATTCAAGAGAGGTTCTTTCAGTAATCTTACCTTGAATCCTTCTCTTGACGTTGAAAATACTTTGAAACTCTTCTTTGGCTCAAGATCCGTTTGACGACATATTTAATTCTGACATCGCACGACTCCACTAAAAGTTCGATGTCGAATAATCTCTCGATTCATATGCGCTATTTTTTGATGGTGTTAATACAATTTATCACACGGTCCACAGAATAAATGCATTATTATCCTTCGTAAATATCAGTGATCAGAATGGTATAGAATATTACCGTTTTACCATTCCAATCATTATTTTCTCAACTCCTTTATTTGACTGTGAATAAGAAAGACATATGTTCGTAAGATGTCTCGCACATGTCACGATGTCTTAATCAATGAATATCATAATTGAATACCAGGCCTGGTTTATTTATTCACACACCCATCAATAAAGCATGAGGTGATATTATTTCTTACGAATTCCATATCTGTGAATCACATAACTCCAACTCAATTTTGTCATGATCCCAATAGCCGAGATGTTGTTCAAAAACTGTGAACTAATCTCACTGGTGAATCAAAAATCATGAGAAATTAAGTCGAGTTATGTATTCACTTCAGGATTGAGATAATTATACAAATATACTTAAGTTGTGACAATTAGGTTTAGAGTTTTGTAAATGGTTTTTTACTCTAACCTAATCAGTCACATGGTCTATTCAACATGTTGTGAACATGTCTAGATCAACCACAGAGTCCAACTCCCATGCCCCGAGACCAGCATCATATGGTTCGATCTAATAGTCATAATCGGATTCGATTGCCCAATCGATCCTAAGACTGCGAATATCTATTTTAAACTATATCAGAAGAGTTTGTCCGGCAGGGTTTCCCTGACTCTTCTTTCGTTGATAACAGTCTATGGACTAAGCAATATCACTAACACTCTTGAATATGTATCAAAACATAACTTTATTTTATTTTATAAAATCAGCGAAACAATAATGTCTTACATTTGTCATTTCACAAATAACAAATTACATCCTACTTTATGGACACATTTCCAACACTAACTAAATAAATGTCAACATAATTTCAAGGTACTGCCATATAAATATTTGACTGGAAGTGTCATACATCGTAATGTGCTAATTCCTTCTAGGATTTCTTATACTAAACTTCCAATTAAATCATTAAAGAGTCTAATGTAACTCATTTATGAAAGTGGACATCATCGTTCAACCAACACCTTATCACCCCATTATATATTTTTATGAAAGTCATGGAAGCAATCATTGGGTTTAAATTCCATATAATAGGAATTATAATTAATGTCTAAATTTATGTCTAGAAATTCTCATTTATTATGCTCCTTGATTTAGATCCTTGAAGAAAGTCATCAAGACACTTTAAACCATCAAAATTCATGTTAATTCATAATTTCAAACATAACTTGATCACTGTTAACCATAATGATGATTATGCTCAATGCATGTACCATCTCATCGGCCTACCACATGAGATCTCAGTGATATGAAAGTTTACATTCCATTATAAAGGTAATAAATATACGTTGTCACAAGAAAAATCCTATGTTAAATTTTACAGTTTAAAAATTTATACTTTAGGATTTTCTCAGGTTTTACACCTCTCTCTCTTTTTCCGCCAAGCACTGGCCACCCACTCTCTCTCTCCTTCTCTCACCGACACTCTCTCTCTCTCTCTCTCTCTCCCTTGCTCTCTCTTTTTTTCTTGCCCCTCTCTCTCCGGTTTATTCCTGCCGAAGCAGGAAAGAAAAAAAAGGATAAACAGAGGGAGCAAGACTCCTCAATCAATTTGAGCTAAGATTTCTTGAGAAACCCACTCTTGTATTTCAATTCTTTAAAGAAGTATGATTTTGGTTAGATTTGATGAATTTTGGTTAGGGTTTAGATTTCATCAAATTGTGGTTGAACTTAGGTTAAATTTGGGGGTTTTCAGTTATTGAACTTGTTGAAGTGTTTGGAAACTAGTTTTAGTGATTTCCTGAGAATTTGTTTTGGAACTGAACTCAAAATGCAGGTTTTGGTATTTTCCCTGCTGCTGTCGAAATGCTGTAGAAATGCTTTAAAAACTCATTTTTTTTCACTAAATTTCAATTGGAAACCAAATTTAATGTTTGAGTTCTGATTCTCAAAGAATTCCAAATTGAATTATAAAATAGGTTGTAAACTTTAGATTTGAGTCAAGGCACACTAATAGGAAACAATTGTACATGATTGAACTAGATTTGTTTTAGAGGTGAGAACTAAATTCTAAAACATTATTTTGATGATGAAGCTTGCGGCACGATCAGACGTGGAGCTTCAAGAATATATGTTTGGACAACGTGAAGTTATCCGTAGACTTAATTGCCAAGAGGTAGGATATCCCTTTCCATATCCTTGTTAGCCTTGTTTTGAAGTATTTTGGCCTATGGAAATGTTTTTAAGATAAAACATGTTTTATAATGAAAAGTATTTTAAGGCAACATCATGATTTATGCTATTGAATTATAATGAACTGAATTAAGGTTTAACGGATATTTTTCTTAAAATAAGATGTTTTAAGAAATGGTAACAACGCTGATGGCCTAGAAATTGGGATATGGAGATCGTATCCTTAGGGGCAGGACCCAAAACCCGTACGGGCCACTACGGTGGTGATTGGCCTTGCAATGGCCATAAGTAATTTATCATTAAATTACATGTTGGTGCCTGAAACCAGTAATTTAAGTTTATTTTCCTTTCAGAAAAAGGTTGCTTGGTTCTGAATGATTTGTTTGAGCCCGTACTTCTATTTATTTATTCAATTTTATAAAATTATATCCTACTGGGCCTTTCGCTCACTTTTCCTATGCTTTAAATGTATTTAAACGCCTCCAGAGTAAGCGGTTTAGATTTATAGCATGATGAGTGGATGCCAATAGATTGAAGGCGCGAGATTCGAAGTGGTTAGTTTATTTCGAATTTACAGTTTTTAATTCTGAGATGTACAGTATTTCTGTATATAAACTGTATCGGTCGACATTGTCCCAGAGTTGTCCTATTTTCCTTGGATTTTACGGACTGTTTTAAATATTGTTTGTAAAACAAAGACTCCAGAGTAATATTTTTTAATATTTATATTGTGAATATGCAATTTACTTGAATTTTGTTGATTAATCTTGTTTAATTAAACTTAATTCTTTCAATAATCACGGTCCCATCTTTGGGGTCGTGACATATAACCTTATAAAGAAAAAAATGCATTTGTGCATGCTTTATGCATAAACAGGTCACCAATTAAATAAATAACGTTACTCATAGATAAAGAAGTAATTAGATAGATTAAATGAAAATCATAACCTAAATTTAATTATATTATGTTATTGTAAACAATTGATAATTTACCTAATAATTGATTATTAATCTAGGGTCATTGAATGATTTAAGATGATAGATTTCCCGGATTACATTCGTGTGTTTAGAATTATGTGCCATGAAAGGTTTCACCAAAATTCTTGAAGGAACTTCGGTTTCTAGCGAGATGCTTCAAGGCTTCTGTTGGCAGCTTCTCATAATTCAGTGCACAACAAACTTTGATCTTTTCTTCTTCACACAAATCAATATGGACCTGTAAAAAAAACTAACAAGTTAAAGTTTTCATGTCAAAGGAAAAGTTCTTGTTAAAATTACTTGGTGTCTACATATAAAAATACCTCAAAATATATGTCCATGGCTTGGTAAGATCTGTCATGAGACTCTCTTGCGCAATCTGGGAGTATCATTACCAATTCTGAGAACTTTGACAGTTTCATGTGGGAATCTAAGGCCACTTCTACTAGAAACGAATCTATCAACCGGCCAACCTTATTCAATCGACTCAATAGTAAATGACAGTTGCCTTTGATTACGAGAAATGATTTCACCAACTTAAGAATCATATTCACATCATAAATACACTTCTTTTCTGTAGGAGATGGAATAAGCAGATGATCAATTGTTGCTTGATCCAGTTGTGAACCTGTTAGATATTCTAACATGTTGCTATCTTGTTCGCCGACTTGAACCCTTAAAGCCACTTGATAAATGCTGAACGAGCCCTTGAAAGAAAGGGAGTTTCCATTAAGCAAACAGAGGAGACTAATTACCATCTCTGTTCTCTTGCACTTCTCATCTATTGTCCCGCCAAAACCGTTGACTTTTGATAATAGAAGAACAACTTAGAAACTGTACCATGGTCAAAATCCTCAGATATCATCATCCTAACAGCCTTCTTAACAAAAGCGGCGTTCAGTATTACAAGATCTTCAAACCACCAGGCTGTTTGAGAGAGATTGTCTCTCAAACTTTTACAATTCCCTGTATAAGAGGAGAAGCATATGAGCTTGAAGGGCTAGGCAAAGCATTAAAGCCCCCCCACAAGGAATTCCAGGATCCGTTGTGTTATAACCAAAAAGTTTGTACTAGGAAGGGAATCTTGGCACTGTTTTTAAGCTATTAGGAGGTCAGACCAACTCCAGAATCTCACTTCTCCAAGAGAATTTTCAGTTTGGGCTACTATGTTTTGTCCCCTTGAATCATGAGTATCCATATCTAGGAAATTTGAGGAGCAGTTTATTACGATTTGCAACAAAAACTCGTCACAAGCTAGAAACTTTCCGCTACACCTGCAAGAGAAGTGGTCTTGGAACAATCACAAGTTTCAGATTCCAAAACGTATCGGTCAAGATGAAAACATTTTCAGCAAATAAATATTAAGATATGATAAAGCTAGTAGGAGGGGCAAAAAAAAGATAAAGACGTTATAAAAACATATAAATATAAATTAATTAGTTAGCTAGTTATTATGCTTTTATTCTTCAAAGATACGTACACACATACATACATATTATATACATAAAAGCACATAACAGAAGAAAAAGTAACTTCAAAACACAGATACATGGGCAACAGAGGAAAGCTTTTTTGTCTTTGAATCTACTTTTTGTCGATGAACACAGAAGTGAATATTTGTTTGTTACTATTCAAGCTAATTAAAAATAAAATTAATATACTAGCTAGATGATGTGAGAGTAAACATAAACTCTCAAGGGTGGAAAAAGTTATAAAAAAACAATAAAAATTAAGTAAATAAAAAAAACTGAAGATGACACAATAACTCACCATATTTTTACAGTATACCAAATAAATAACCCCTGTCTTTTCATTAATTTAGCTCAATTCAACTCAATTCTTAGCACAGTTTGAAACTCATGTCTAATAAGCACTCAATTCAAGTTATATTTACCGTTTGAATTGAATTAAACTGTCCAACTTAAAATTTAGCTTTCCCCTCAAATTTAATCGTTTAAACCATTTTTAAAGAGTAAAAAGATGCTCATTCTCTCTGCTTTCTGCACCTACCGAACACAAATTCGGGTTTTATTCCTTCTTTAGGTATAAACTTTGAATGCACATCTAAACACCAGTTCAAATTTTTTTGTTCAAATAAAGAGTTTAAATCAATACAATTCGAACCAGTGAACTAAATGAGGGCTAAATGAACCATTAAATTCTAAAGGAAAGACACAAAAAAATAAAATAAAATAAAATAAAATGAAGTAAATAAAAAAATTGAAGATTACACAATAACTCACCAATTTGTTTTTTGTTTTTTTTGTTTTTAAGTATGCCAAACAAATTAATGAACGGTTAAATTCTAAAGGAAAGAGGCAGAAAGAAAAATTAGTAAGAGGTGTGTATTGAAATTAAATGACTTCAACACAACACAATAATAAAAAATGAAAAAAATGAAGTGAAAGCATAAGAAGACAAAATACATGAACCAAAAGTTGAATAGTTCTTGAAGCAAACTCTCCTTTACAATATAGTAATAGAAAAACATAGGCATATAAACCCAAACAAAAAAAATATCCAAAAGGGCAGGGTTTTCTATTTTCATAGATTTGGTAGTTTTAGAAAGGGTGAACTTAAACAAACTAGAAGAATATATAAAAGGATATATGTTCATTACATGAAGAGAGCAAAGATATGATCACCGGATCCATTAAAACTGGTAAAACAAAACTGCGGCCAGGGAAGCAAAAATGAGATAGAAAGCGGCCATGAAAGAGTACCAGGCTGCGGAGCTTTTTCCTTGAGGCACCTCACTTCCGCCGATCAGGGCTGGCGGCCGGAGAAGGAGCCGGGACCGGACTTGATTGTTGGCAGCAGCAACTTTGATGGTCAGCTTCATACTCTGAACACAGTTATTACGAAGAGTGGAGATGAAGAAGTGGTTGCCGGATGAAGTGAGGTTGAACTATGTTGGTCCAATGGTTGCGTAGTATAAGGGGTCATCGTCGTGGCAAAGTTCGAAATCTCGCTTGTTCACTTGAGCCACATCGGCCGCTCTTGTTTGGAAGTTGAACACTGCGTGCACATTCATATATATGGTAAACTCCAAATTATACGGTACTGGGGATATTGACATCACAAATACTTAGAAATATTGATCAATCATTAAGTACGTTCATTGTCCAATATCATGAGCACATTCCGATAAATTACTTGACACCCACTAAAATTTCTCAACTCAATTTATTAAATAAAACCAAAAATTCAAAATTGAAAAACAACCCCAATTAATTACTCAAAATAAAAATCAGAAAATAAAAACACTGACAGATCATCTTAAGAGAAATATTTTTCATAAAACAATATTGATTACTAAATTACATATGTCAAAAAATTTGCAAAAAGACGTAATTAATTGTAATTAATTTGTAATATGTGGGCTAAACATTTCACAAATTTTACATGATGATTTTTTATTATTTGAGTGACTAGTAATAAAGGAATATATTAAAATTTTCTTTTCAAGGAAGTTACGCCACCAAAATCTAAGAGCTTTATATTTTTTACACGGAATTTCAATAGTTCATATTTTTTCTGGAGACTTTAGTGGCACAAATCTTAAATTTATACCATTGGGTGGCATAAATATATATATATATATATAGCATCATTTGAGTAGTGTTTCTGTATTTCTCCCTTTTTGTTTTTCTTTGATTAAGCCAGCAATATTATTTACCTCATAGATAGTGTTTCATGAGAGTAATCACTACAAGAAAAAGGGCTTTTCGTAGCGGTTAGTTATAGCGTTTTTTAAAAAACGTTACTGTTTTAGTCTATAATAGCATTTATAAAGAGTTATAATATATATATATATACATATATATTAAAATTTGTTGACATTTTGACTGATTTGTTTTATATATATTTAAAAATATATAAAT